TGATGACGTCACTGTAGCTCTGGTGATTGTCGAACAACACGATTGACACAAGAAATTATTTCTTGTGAATTGGGCTTGAATGCCATGGCTGTATCGCGAATATTAAGTGTTCATCTGGGATACATGAAGAAATCTGCTCGATGGGCACCACGAATTTTAATAAGGCCCAAAAAGAGCCTCGATTGCATTTTGTTAAATTTTTCCTAAACGAATTCAAAAATGGCCAGTCTGGCAACTTTAGTAAAGGCATTACTGGTGACGAATCTTGGTTCTATAAGTACGATACAGAAACCAAGCAGTTGTCCATGGGATGGAGCCCAACAAGAGCAAGCCCACCCATAAAATCTAAGCAAAAAATCAGCAGCAAAAGTAATGATGCCAGTTTACTTCACCCGATCTCAAATCGTAGCTGCCATTCCACTGGATAAGCTTCAGACGGTAACTGCAAAATGGTACACCGAAGTCTGCTTTCCAAAAGTTTTCAAAAACTTGTTGGAAAAAAGGAAAAAAGCGGCTTTGCGGCGCTACTTTTAGCATCATGACAACGCGTCTTCCCACACTGCTGAAAAAACGAGAAAATTTATTGCGATCTCCGAGATCGAAGGAATGCGCCCCGCATCATATTCACCGATTATAGCACCATGTGATTTCTGGTTATTTAAAAAATTTAAAAAATGTTAAAGGCAAAGGTCTTTAATAGCAACAAGGCGATAATTAGTGCGGTTAGAGCTGAACTTGATAAGCTTAAAAAGCTAGATTTTGAAAACTGTTTTCAGATGTGGTTCTATTGATATCAATGGCGATTGTGTGGAGGAGATAAAAAAAGACAAAGATTACGAATAAATACAAAAATATTTTTTTTTCGTTCTGGTCAACTTAGCGAACTTTTGTTAATCCCCTCGTAATTCACTACTTATATAAATATATATGATGTATATATTTATTATGTGCCACCGACTGTGTAGTGTGAGCTTTATTTATCATTTGTTTTACACTTTGCTGCTAAATATTTTATACACTTTATAAATGACTGATTTATGATGCTTAATTTGTGTTGTCCTATTTTTTATTTTATAAAGACTAAAATAATTTTTATTTTTTTTTTTTTAAAGCAAAATTGATTTAATAAATTTATTTGTTTGAATGAATAATTACGGTTATTGGTGTAACGTGTCATTCATTGAAGGAAAAACTCGGTGTTTGTAAATATTAGATAATAAGCTTATGCAATAAATAAAAATAAAAACTGTAATAAAATTTATAAAAAAAAATAAGGCAGTGAGTCGCTTTCTCATGGAAAAATAATGCATATACTCACGTACATGTAGATGTAATCTTAGGCATATAAAAGCTGATTTCAGATGAGAAAACACTTTTTTTGATAGGTGTGACGACACTATTGCTGCTTTGTGAGCAAAGCAAAGAAGATCCGAATGAGTAGATTCGCCATCGCACCCAATAATTGGAACTATGCCTGGCCACTTTCTGGAAGGCTTGCAATACATGCGAAAATTGAATTTGAACGATAGTCAAGCGTGTGGCAAGTTCGATTATGTTCATCCGCAACACCTTTTCACCTAGAGCTCACTCCTGAGCTCCACTCGATACATTTACATTTACTCCATTAGGAACCAAACGGCTCGCTGAATAAAGGCAAGGATCGAATCTATTAACTTCCACTTCCTCCACGAGTACATATTTCAGAGAGTTTGTGAAAGATTTAGCGCCACCATATGCCCAATCACCCCAGCATACTAGGCATTAGCTTTCGGCTTTCTGCCATATGTTGAACCCCCTCGCTCTGCAGATTTCGAAGAGTCAAGGCGCTTAAATGTCGGCATTGCGTACTGTCGTACTAACATCCAAAAATCTATAGAAAATTAATTTAAAATAAAAAATTAAGCTTAATTTTCTAATTCCGGTCGCCCTTGGGCAGGGAAAGTCAACCCCTCCGAGTGTATTTATGACATGAAATAATGGCTCCTCATAACAAAACCATCAGGGGGCGGTATAAACTGTAGGTCCCTCCATTTCTTGGAAAGACATCAAGGTGTAAAGCCACAAATTGAAGGAGGAGCTCGGCCGAAAATCGCTTCAGCGGTTACAAAGCGTCAATTATATACAACAAATGTAATGCTCACCCTTCACCATTTCCAAATTCTCACCCGGAGCCCAGCCTCTGATCTCCTTCCAATAAATTCATAGTACAAAATTTGACATCTGCTAAAATACTGCTGAAAATGATCCCCATTTCATTTGAAACTTTTTAATTTTTTTATAAATTGTAGATTTCTGCGCTGTATAGCGTCCTGAATCAGGGGGTCTTTTTTGGCTTTCAATGAGGCAATCCTCAAAAGGTCACTACTTTCAGTGCTCTATGTGCAGACTAGACTATTTTTTGTGGGATAAAGTGAAGTTGTTTCCCATGGCGGTTAAGCTAGAGCTTTGAAAGATAATATTTGGAGCGTTATTGCCGACAGCACACAGCCACAATTTCTAATAAGGAAATCGAAATTTCGGCCACTTAGCTGGGATTTATTTGAACCAGATGCGATAGTCTTTAGCCCGTAGTGTCCGAAATTTCCTTTTTAAAATGTTTATAAATTTTAAAATCTTCTACCTTTGTTATAACGCTAAAATAACATCAAATTATATGTGTTTTATTTCTTCTTAAAAACCCATTTCTAAAGAAAACACCCTTTGTTTAGTTGAATTTAAGGAAATAAAATTAAGCCAATCTTTTTTTAACAGTGCCATAATGCTCACTAGATGTAGCTTATATGATTATGTAGCCAAAGTCCTAAAGCTTTTTCAATAGAAAGCTGTCAGTCGACTTTTGACTTTTAAAAAAACTTGCTACGATGAGCTTTCACACAACTTGCCGACTCACAAAAAACACGAAGAAAAGCTTTTCTTAGACAAAATATGATGAAAGCTTCCGCAAAAAAATGCTGATAGAAAAGTTTGATATTTTTCGGAAGTTTTTGTAAATGAGTTTTGTAGATATGTCGAGAGCAAACAAAAATACAAGTATATTTAAAACTAAAAAAAGCTACAAAAATTTGTTTTCTTTTAAGGAAGACACAACTATAATAAACTATTATTACAAATAAAAAAAAATTGAGGAAAAAGAATAATGTTAAAATTAACTAAAATACACTAATTTAAGCACAAGATTCTTTAAATTTAGTATTTAAGATGAATGGAAAAATAAAATAAATTGTAGTTAAAAAAATTAATTTAGTGCAAAAATACATATATATAATTATAACGTTAACAACAAATTAAATTATAAATAATTAAACTATAAAATTCAAAAAAATATATTAATATATTTAATAAAATATATTAATACAAACATGCCGAAATAATAAAATGTAAAATATTTTTTAATTAATAGAAAACTAAAAAAAAAAATATTCTTATAATTTAGCATAAGTTAATTATACTAATAATAATGAGAGCATGAATTTATATATGAATTATATTGTAAATAATTAACTTTTAAAAATAATTTAGAAATAATAAATTTGTAAGGAAAAATTAAAAAAAAATAACACTAAACATAACAATAATTTATAAATGAGAAAAAAGTAATGTTGAAAAACGAATATTTAACAAAATATGTACGCAACAGATTTCAAACTATTAGAAAAATTATTTAACTAAACAAAAGAAGCTAGCTATAACAGTAAATAATAACAGTAAATAATAAGCAAAGTGTTTTGTATGATTTCAGAAGACTTCAATGGAAGTGCAAAAATAAAAAATATTAAATTTTTATTTAAAAAACTTTTCATTTGGCAGAATATTAAAGGTAGTATCGGTATATATATAATATATACATATAAAATATATATTTAAACCATGCAAAAACTGGTTACTAACTCATAAAAAGTAAACGGCTGGGTCAGGAGAAGGTGTTTCCTTCCCTACCAAGAAATATATCTCAAATATCGTGTTTGCATTTCGATTAGCTTTAAATTCGTATTGGAAGTATCGAGCATGGTCTACCGATCCCTCTAACTTAATGAAAATCTGCATCTTCTTCCGCTTCCACGGACGTGTTCTACATCAAAAATTTTCAAAACTGGAGCGTTCTCCGACATTCGGACCACATGACTTAGCCAGAGTAGCCGCTGCATCCTGATTCACTGAACTATATGAATGTCAACGTATATATACTACAACTTGCTCCATTGACTGATGTACTTCTCCTTGTTCACTACCAGACCCATACACTTCATTTCCTTATCCAGTTTTCTATGCAGTTTTTCTACAGCAATAGATTAAAGAAGCCATACGATAAGGAATTAGCTTTCCTGAAACTTCGTTTGGTATCGAACGGCTGACAGAGATCTTTCCCGACCCTTGCCGAGCTTTTCGTGTTACTTGACGTCAGTTTATATAGCCGTACAAGTTTTGTAGGGATACAAAATTCAGTCCTATGAGTGTTGAGGCATTCGAAGGCTGCTTTAAAATCGACGAAGAGATAATGGCACGGTTATTTTCACGGGACTTTTTCAAGATTTGACGAATGGTGGATATTTGGTCAATAATTGATTTATCAGTTCTAAAGTCAAAATGGTAAGGTCCGATCTGCATTTGAATAGCTCAGCTGGCAATCCATCGCCCCCATCGTTTTACAAGCGGGATTTTCACATTTCGTCGTAGTTAGGCAATTAAATATTTCAAATGTTCATTGATTGACTCGGTTTCACCATCTCTTGGGGTTCTATTTTCACTGTCATTTAACAAACTTTTCCCTCTATTAATTCAGTATGCTTGGGGGCATCATTCGCTGAATAACCTCTCTGGGTCCTAGAAGACTTTGTTCTGGTCGATTCAATTTAAAAAAATAAAACCACCTATAAATTCATATAATTTATCTTTTATTATAATTCTAGAGTAGAACTGTACACATTAAATTGTAGAATTGAAGGGAACCAAAATTCTTGGAGTCCGTTATGGAGAAAAATTACAATAAATTTCGGTTTTTAATTACAAATCACACTCGCTGTCTTCTATCAGAGTCCAAGCTGAAAGGAGAAATGATGATTTTTATTATAAGAATGTGAAATATAAGGAAATTTTATATTTTCACTTAAATAAAGTTAGAATAACCGAGGGAAATTGTTTTTAAAATTTTTTCAATAGGCATTTGACACTGACATTATTTGGTTGATGCCATAAAAGGATGGCCAAAGTATAAAAATATTTCAATATTTCTACAAATACGCATATTAGATATATTGCCTTTGGTTATATGGATTCCAAAAATATTCTTGAAAGTGCCACATGGAAAACCAAATGGGTTATCTTTTTACCTTCCTTCGTTAAAACTTCATTTCTCTCTCTGCTTCACTCTCTCTCTCTCTCTCTCTCTCTCTCTGTTTATCGGTGCTACATTTCCACTCCTTTTCCTCGCTCATTACTCATCATCAGTCTTACCTTTCCACTTCTCTCTCTCTCTTTCTCTCTGTCAAACCTCACTCTCTTACTTACCCTCAACAGCCAAGCAATTTTCAACATCCAATATACAGCTATTGCCGAAAATCTCTTTTGTTTTCCCATTCGAAGCACAAATCGGTTCATAAATAAATGGACAAGGACGTAAACACTGCTCGCGCACCAAAGGATCGACATGTTCGAGGCAGCGCGATAAGGATGTGATGCGCCAGACTTAAAAAAAAGAAATGAAATTAAGAATTTGCTTTAATCTACAATAATTTTTAAAACTCCAATCAGATACTCACCTGTTCCAGTGCTGCAGCTGGCATAACGCTTTAAACAATCATTATGGAAGTAACGGTAAACGAGTTCATCCTCTCCACCAGAAACAGCACAGACGGGATCGAAGATTTTCGGACAAGCATTCGTGCAATTTGCGCTAATATTTTTCTGCTCGCCCTGTACAGCGGCAGCGAGGACAATCAGGAATACAGTTGTTGTAATGATCTTCATATTGAATTTTTCGTTTTCTTCTGACTTTCGCAACTATGCAACTTTGTATAAGAACAAACGATTTCAACTGTTTTGTAATCAGATAAAAACATTATTTTATACAAAATCCGATCTCACAACCGATCAACCGTTAACAATTTTTTATCATTACAACTTTCAGTTGTTAAACAAATATCGAATGTGGAAAAAATTTTATTATTTATTTTGTAATTCACCGATTTAGCGCAGTCTTATCGGTTATCCAAAAATGTGTGATTAACCTTGGCACTGAAGTTGATGCCGCCTGCCAAGCGCACAGTTGGGTAAGTACATAGTTCATGTGGTTATTGTCAGCGCGCTGATAAGTCATTACATAAGCGTTGAATATGTGTTGAAGTATTCTCTTTTATTGAAGTAAAAGCAAGCATGTCCTCATTCGAAGTCATTACTCTTACTCTCTTACTCTGAAAACTATTTGCCTATTGCATGGTCACTCAACGGCTGCGTAGAAGCGTTCAGTGCCCTCTTGATTAATCCCTACTACAATAACTTTTACTACCAGAACTACTTTCCGACTCAGAGCTCAAATAGTCAAAAAAAACATGTCAACGAACTTAGAGAACACTCATTAGATTTGTAGCTCGACAAAGAGGTGGGAGGAGTTTATTTGCATGTTACACTATAGCCACATTACCAGGGGAGAGGTGAGAACTACATAGTTTTCTCCACAGAAAATCCTACGTTGGGCTACAAAGAACAATGAAGGGATCTCGAAAAGCTTACGCTTGGATTACGCTAGATGGCTTTAGAAAGAGGACATTTTGTATAGAAAAGGATAGTGGGAGAAGTGTTGATCACTAAACTCACTAGTGTTTCAGCATGTCAAAGGTGAACACCAGTAAAGAGAAGAGACACTATATTCTACAATATTTTTCGCTGAAGGCGAACGCACAAGTCAGGCAGCTGCAAATATGCAAATCATCCAAAATTTTGGTTCGTCAGTTTCATTCCGGTGATTCTGATGATCCACGGTGAGGAGGGAGGGACTATTTTCGAAAAAGTCAATAAAATCATCGATTATGTCCGTCATGCGATTGATAGGAGCTAAGCATTGCACAAATGTAGTTGGAGCTACTTGCAAAAATGTTGGAAACACAAAGAAGCGTCACATGAGTTAAGGAGAAAAAATCGTGGACCGCATTTGTATTTGTGAATCGCTGCTGAACCAAAACGAAATCGACCAAATTCCTGAGCGGTGACCAGTGATGGAGAATGGGTCACGAACAGCAACGTTAAAGGAAAACGATCGTGGCCTAAGACCAGTGAGACGGAACAAACGGCCTCCATGACGAGATTGACAGCACGAAGGTTTGGTTGTGTGTTTTGTGAGATTAATTAATAGTAATAATTGGACCGTCTTAAGGAGGCAATCGCCCAGAAGCGCCTAGCTTTGACCTTAAAGTCCGGACCCCGCTCCAATTGATTACCATATGTTCCTGTCTATGTCGAATGATTTGGCTGGCGAAGAATTGGCTTGAAGAGAGATCTGTGAAAATCGATTGCTCCAATGGTTGGCCAATAGAGACAAGGGTTTCTATGAAAATGGCATAATATCAGCAAAATGGCAAAAATATCGATAAAGACGGTGCGTAATTTGCATGAATCGGATTTGTAAATAAACTTTTCAAACTTTTTTCATCGAAAAGGCTCGAGCACGGCTTTACCAATTTTGATGAAATTTTCAGAGGTTTTCGTTATTGATTGTGACAAGGTTTAGGAATAAAAAAAAGAACCGTTACATTTCCTAAGAAATAATTGAAAAATTGGAAATTTATTTTTTTCCAATTTTTATTATTTTTTTTTTATTTTTTTCCAAATCTGTTTTTTTTTAATTTGGTTTTTCTTTCTTATTTGTTGATTCGAAAAGTTTTTTTTTTTTTGTTGGTCAATATACGCAACCTCAATTCTATTGGAATTTATGTGTTCCTACTTCAGCTGATTTGCAAATTATTTGAATCGTTCAATTTCGGTCGTTCGATTTCTTTATTTAGGCTATTCAAAATGTAAATTATTGAAAATTATTCAGTGAAAGCTTTATGTATGTTTCACGCAGGACAACGTCTGTATGTATTTACACATGTGTCTTTGATTGGCTTAGTGTTTCGAATATATTAAATATGATTATGAATGATGACGAAAATTGTAAATTTGTTAGAAAAGCTACGGCATTTGAGCACTCAGTGGTATTAAAACATCAATACTTTTGACAGCCACTGTAGTTATATGTGAGCATTTGCCGGGGTGCTTTCGCTATGTTCGCGTCTTAGCTAAATTTAAAAAGATTTAAACGCGATTAAACGAGTTTATGTTTTTTGTGATATTTCCCAACAATTTCTACTATATCTCCAAATAAATAAAATTAGAAATTGTAATTAAGCTTAATTAATTTTTATACAAATTCGGCATTTTTAAATTTATAAAAAATTAATTATAGTTCTGCGCAGTCGGTAGGATTCGAACCTACGCTCCCAGAGGGAATCTGATTTCTAGTCAGACGCCTTAACCGCTCGGCCACGACTGCTTTTCTCCAACGGGTGCACAATGTGCCACAAAACTATGCTGTATCATTCAGCTTTAACTTTAGACTTATTGCAAAAACAAAAACAGTTGTTTATTGAAGTGAACAAAGAATATAAATAAAGCTTCATGAGAACATTCATCTATAGCTACATAAATATGTACGGGTTTTGATCGATGTTTAAAATAAAGAATAAAAGTTAAGCGAAATAGCAAAAGGTTTTTACTGCTAACATAAAAAAAAAAAAAAACAATTTTCTTTCTGCTCTTGAAAATAACAGGAATGAAGTTTTTAAATACTATTACTATTTAATTTTCTGGTATCCGATTTTGCACACAAAAGTAACATGTTTTTAAATATACATAGCTTAAAATAAAAATAAATAGAAATATCAACATTTTTTTTATCATTTTATTTAAACTTTTTTATTTTAATTAAAAAAAAAATTAATGAAATTCTGCGCAGTCGGTAGGATTCGAACCTACGCTCCCAGAGGGAATCTGATTTCTAGTCAGACGCCTTAACCGCTCGGCCACGACTGCATGCTATCTCACCCAACCAATTATGCTATTTGAGCTCCATGTTAAAAACCATATTTACATACATACTCACATTTCTAACTCAATTAACCCCTATTTTATGCCAATTTTTTATTATCTGCAGAAACGAAAAGAAAGTTGCAGGGAATATAAGTAGTCATGGCCGTTTTGCAGGTTATATTGAAGCTCTTTACGTTAGGTCAAAGAACGTATATTAATAAGAAGGGAAAAGAACTGTGAACTGTTCATTGAAGTGGCTCAGGTTTCACAGACGGAGTGAGTCCGCTTTAGACCTTCTTTCGCAAATTATTGTAAATTCACCTCGAAGGGGTAGTCTTCTTATGTTTTCTCGGCATTTTTACGGCGACGATGATAACAAAAATGACAAGTAGGCAAATGATGCGAATTCAGTTTGAATTTATTTCAAATTATTTTAAATAATTTTGTTTCCATATTTATTGGATGAAATAAATTAATTTTCATAATGAAATGAAATAGGGTGAAATCATAAACTTCATTATTGTATTTATATATATTTATATTATCCAAAAGCAATAGCAAGTGACGATTTGCCGTCGGCATTCGAATAGCGTTTTTTTATAAGGAGGGTTATTTATGCATGAATTGTATTTTTATAAATTAATTAGATGTTTTGTTAATAATCTTATTAACTTATAAATCAATTTGTAGATACATATATACGTACGTATGTATGTGTACATAATACAAAACAATGACCTGCCTCAAGAATTACTTGCATATGTGCATAAAAGTGTACATATGCAAAAACATATATACACATTATTTGCGTGAAAACAAATTACCCCATCCCTCAAAATACTTCTCTTGTCTAAAAGCTCAGAACTGAAATCAAATACAACAATAAGATTTTCATTCATAGACGCCTGCGCCCTACAACAAAGTTGCTTCTTCGCTGCGTTGACAAAAATCACAAAAAATCGGAAGCAAATTTGGCCGCGAAAAGTGAAGCAACAACAACGTACATTAGCCTGCCCTTCTTCCTTCAACGCGAAACATTCATGAGCCGTCCACAAGCATTGCTTCAAGTTCTTGCCACTGACAAAATTCAATCATCGCCTGCAGAAATGAAACAAATCGACATCGTGCTACTAGATTTTCTGTTCGCTTGTTAGCTTATATTGCCCAGCAAGCAATTTCCTTGCCTTCCCGCATGCCCTTTCTACAAGATAAGATGATAAAAAAAATAGTCTAAATATTCCAGAAGATTCTAGAATGTTCTAGAATATTTGATTTCAATGAAGAAAAGTAGAATAAGCATAAAAGCAACAAAAACAAGTAATGCATGCAAACCCCCTTTCCTTCAACTCTTCATCCACAAACAGTTTCATGAAGTCGAAGTCAAATTTTGCAAAAATCCAGAAATTGAAGTTGAGCAAAAATCACAAACCCACACATAGAAAGCTTCATATACATGTAGAAATAACCAATACAAACAAAGTATTGTGAAATCTCTTTTCCCTTGCTCCCTCCACCAACAAGCCGTTCCGGTCAGAAATTTTGTCAAAAGTCAGAAATTGATGTTAAGCTTGCGACAAAGTGAAAACCCATACACTCAAGCAATTTAATATGTATACGTTAAACGCACACAATCTTAATAGCTCGCATTCCCTTCCTTCTTTCACCCCGCTATCATCCACAAACCTCTTCTTCGCGACGATGACAAAATATCAGAAAAATCAGAATTCAAGTTGGTCTGAAGTTAGAGACACATACATTCAAAGAGGCCAATGTGTACACGAAAAACAGACACATGCACAAAAACTTGCAAATTCTCTTCCCTTGTGCCCCGTCATCCACGAATGACTTCTTCGGGGCGATGGCAAAATTTGCAAAAATCAGAAATTCAAGTTGAGCTGAAGTCAAAAACAAACACATTCAAAGGTGACTGTATGTATATGAAAGACCCATACATACATGAAACCATGAAAAATACAACATTTTCATTCATAACGCATGCGCCCTGCAACAACGCAATGTGTTCATTCATAAATACCACTACTCACATGGCTCCGCTTCCCCGTCTCAACATTTGCTTCCTCGAGACGACCACAAAATCAACCTTGTAAGGAAGACTAAATTCGAGTGGAAGCGAGATATTCGGCTGATATTTATATGTTTAAAACATCTCAGTTCTTACTCGAGCTATCGTGTATTAAGACGGAGGGACAGATATTAATCGATTTACCTCACCATTCCCTGAAGTTTTTTACATAGTTTATATATTCTTACTTTGATTATTTTAAAACCGTTAGCAGAACAAATCAAATGCACTCTGTTCACATAGTACAGCCGGGTATAAAAAGTCCCGTAACAAAAATTAGCAAATCGTACATCTTCCCGAAATGTGAAGCAACAACAATACACATTGGTATGTGGCATACACTACATTGCTTCAAATTCTTCCGACTTTGACAAAAATTCAGACTTTGTCCACCGAATTGTAGCAAGTCGGCATCGTGCTGTTAAATTTGCTGTTTGCCTATTAGCTCATATTGGGAAGCAAGTAAATTCAAGCAGTCGGCTGGGCAAAGTGCAAAAAATCTAGATTTTAGGGATGAAGTGCGAATCCCAAGCTATGGCCAAAGAGGGAAGTAGAGGCGTGCTCGGGGACACAAAGAAAAATAGACGGATCCCTTCAGGATTTCCATTCTGTCTAGTGTATATATGTATGCTTGCTTTCATATTTTTATGCATGTCTATCGTTTCGCGCGCATATTCAAACGATTTTTGCCAACTCAATCGGCTCATTTTTGTTTTGGTACGAAATTTCGTTTCGCCGTCATAATTGCCCCGCTGTGCTACGAAAATCGCGAGAAATTTGAAGGAAGGTGTAATCTCGCTGTGGCACCTCACTATTCACCTCAACCAAATTTTTCAAATTGGTTCACAGTTCTTTTCCCTTCTTATTAATATACGTTCTTTGCGTCCTGTTGTCCTTCTATAGATCAAAAGCTAGCTGAACTGCAGAAGGATAAGGGTGGAGTGCAATGTGGTCAGATTTACTACAGGTAGAGGGAACCTTCTGCGTGGCGAGCTACTACTGTCACTCCAAGCAAATGAGCTATTTTGCTGCGCGGATACTTTTTACCTTCTCATAAAGAAACCAAAATAAGGTCTTTGCGTGAAGGAAGGTGGAACTTACAACTGAGGAAAAGACTTTAGGTAGTTTTGAACAGCAAACTGTTTTGAAAGTTCAATGATTAGAAGAGATAAGAAGCTGTGAGCTACTATGTGCTGTACATTATCTGTGTATATAGGAAGACTCACATTGAAAAATAGCGGATGGCGGAACTAACAACATATATGTACAGGACGGATCAAAACTGACATGACGACTGCATCTATAGCGCTGATATTACGAAAAAAGAAGTTTTCTAGACGGTGATTTTTACGATAAAAAATGCGCCTGAGCCAGCCAACACAGCGGGAATTATCAACATATATTTATATGTGGATAACCAGACGGCTATTAGATCAATAATCTCACTGCGTATTATGTCAGAAAATGTCCTTACAAGTGGAAAGCCGGTGACTGCAAGGAACAGCTGCATATATATTGGGATCCAGCCCACAAAGGCATTGTAAGAAACGTATTATGTAGTTGCTGAGATAGCGAAAAATATCGACCGTCTGACAATCGTACGAGTACAAAAGACAATTTCCAAGTTAGCTTGAAAGGCGGACAGATTGCGTAGGAATGCTTGATGGCCTGCAAAGAGAGACGAAATCATTTTCAAAGGTAGCAAAGAAGGATTTACCCACTTCTGGGTTACGCCACTCGAAAATATTGCAAAGTAGTTGTATGCTTAACGATAGGGAACAACCGAACCTCAGCAGCAGTAATACATGCAGAGAGTATGGCGAAGCAGATATGAGTGAGTTTTTAGAACAACACCTCTGTTTCTGTACGGCCTTTTCTGGAACATGCCTGTGACCTGTTACGGAGCTTCACTGTTCAGAGGAGTAGAGAATATTTCAAAAGTGGATAACAAGGACTGCTTAAAATTAGCAATGAGCGTTGATGTTTTTGACACAACAACAAATGAAGGTAAGGCGTAGTGGTCAGTTTAACCAAGCCTTGTGAGAATTTTTTTTTATTATTCTTTTGTAATATTTTTATTTTCATTTTTTTTAATTTTTATTTTCGATTTTTACTATTTTTTTTTTTTCAATAAAACAATTGTTTTTTTATGTGGGTTTCTTCCTTTAAATATTTTTTCACTTTTTCTTTATTGAATTACAAACATTTACACTAAACATTTAATTATTTTAAGCTAGTTTGCGCACATAAATTATTATTTTTCAGTTATTTAGTACCTTTCAAACTTTAAACAATAGTTTTTTCATAAGCAACTTTATTTTAAATTAATATTTTTGTTTACAAAAGTATTTAAGACGTTTCATATAAATATTAATTTATAATAATATTTCAGTGCTTAGGCAATGGAACATGACACTCACTTTTCTAGCTATGATTGATTTGATGATATTTTCTTGCTAAAAGTTCGTGGAACCGGTGGAAAAACGTTATTTCAGCTACTGTTGTAATTTTAAATTATTTATTTATTATTTTTATAAAGAAACACTACAAAAATCAAAATGTTTATATTGTATATATATATATATATATAAGAAGTTTATTTTTTTATTTTAAGTTGTATCATTTATTTTTTTTACAGCTATTTGTGACTCTATTGTTATAAGCTTTTACCCGCTTTATTTCAATACAAAAAGAATGTTTAAAAATCACAATGTGTCTAAAAAAATTATTTCAAAACTAACAAGCTCACGCTACGTTTTTTTTTTAAATAAGGCGCTTTACAAAAGACTTTGTTACGTTTATTGTTGTTGTTTTCTTTATTTAATTTTTTATTTACTTAATTAAGTGTGCCGAGTTTCTGCACAATTTAGTTTATGTAGTTCTTAAAAGCGTTGGAAACCAGATCTGATTATGATTTTACAGCAGAATTTGAAATTGTATTATGAAAAGAACTTAGAATTTAATAATTAAATTAACAAAAATTTTTTGTTTTGAAATATTAAGTGAAAAATTCTATTAAAAACATTATTAAATGCCTAGAAGCTTATTACACAGCATTGTCTGTACAAAAAAAAATTATTTAATCACATCAAGGGTGTTAGTGCAAACTTATAGCTAATCAGTTGAAAGCAATTATTTTTGCCTTTATAAACTATACATATACATTAATGTTAAAAGAAAAATTATTTGCATTTATAAATTATACATCACAATCTTTATATCAAAGTGTAAAAGAACTTTAAGTACAAATTTCATGTGCGATTTTCATATAAAAGTTCTTTTCAATATAAATCTGTTTTTTTTTTTAATTTTATTGTTGTTTAGCTCATCTAAGGTTTTTAGCCTTTAATTGGCTATATATATACTTAGTTAATTTACTTAATGAAAATAAAATTAAAGTAAATTTTGTTTTTTTTTTTAGCACAAAAAGTATTGTGTAATTTAGAAATTCTATTTATGTATGTCTTCAGCGCTTTTTTTTTGTCTTCAGCTACATAAATAAAATATCTTTTCCATGCATTACAACTAATTATAATGAAATTAAAAATCAAAACTATTTTAAATTAAATTTAGAATTAAAATGTATGTATGTTGTGTTGTAGTATGAGATAAATATAACAGTTTGGTTTCTATTTTCGTCTGAGATGCTAAGTTTTCTTATAAAATTAATTCTAAAATATTATATAAAAACTATATACAGCGCTATTTAAAAAAAAAAAATTACAGTATACATATTCGCCCGAAGGTTAACGAATACAGGTGAAATGCTTAGTATAGAAGTTTTGTAAAATTGTAGCTTTAGTTTTTGAAATACTTCATTTCCTTAGAAAATTGAAAATTGTCTAAACATAAAATGCATTGTTGTACGAGTAGTATAAATTACACTGCGTCGAAATGCAGAATCATCAGTATAGTAATATAAATACAGCTAAGTGAAGTGAAAATCATTGGAATTCCCTTTGTGAAGTTGAACTTCTGGTAAACATTTATGTTTTTAAACTTCAAATGCATTTTCGAATCGCATTCTTTATTAACAAACACATTTTAACAAATGCAGAAAAAAATAATATTGATTTATTATTTTCCAATTTTTTTTTTCTCTTGAAGATTTCAAATATTTTTTTGTATCCACTAACAATACAAATCGAAAAAGGCAAAACATTCAAACATTACAATTCTTTTTTGTAAATTATATAAAAATTTAACGCAAATAATTTGCGCATTATTTTTGCTTTTAAATATTTCATAGAGCTAATTCGTATCCTTTGTATTTTATGCCTTTTCAGGAGGTCCCAATCTTAATTTGCTCGCTGCTGCATGTGCTTGCCTGGGTGTGTGTGTGTGTGGGTGTGTGTATGTGCGTAAACCAATGCTTCCAATTTATTCATAACCAACTTTTTGTACACCAACTGCGGCATCCATGTGTAGCATTACTATGGAACCAACCATAGCGACGACTGTACGATCCAGCCATGTCACCGGATTGGGATAGATAAGACCACCTTCGTAGAAACCCAAATGGCCACCGTGCGCCAGTTCAATGTATGCGGTATTAGGGCGGGACACTGTTAAATAAAAATGTTGAATTTACATTTTTATAAAAATTAAATTTAAATAGTTTACTTTTATCTTATATTTTTAATTAAATAAATTAATTTACTCCCAGTAAAAATAATTGACAGCAAAATCGAAATAAAAGTATTAACAATTTCATTTTTATGTTTTTAAAATAAAAAAACACTCATTATAAGAACCTTAAAAAAGTTTCTTACAAAAAGATCTAATTGAAATACTGTGAAATTAAAAAAAAAAACTTTACTTCGCAGAAAATAATTTATTTGCAATATATTTTTGTTATTTACAGAAAAAAATGCTAGCAAATTAACTTCTAGTAAAAAAAATTCGTCTTTTTCATTAAAATTTCATTTGGAAAAAATTCTATTAAAAAAAAGTTCAATACACACATAGTTTCATTTAAAATACTTATATATACTATTTATTATAAAAAAATTAAATTTAATTTGAACAAAATACAAAATATTAAAATAAAAGTTTAATTTTCTTCGCAGTCGGTAGGATTCGAACCTACGCTCCCAGAGGGAATCTGATTTCTAGTCAGACGCCTTAACCGCTCGGCCACGACTGCTGTTTGCCTAACGCAGACCAAACAGCCATAAAAACTTTAGCAAAACTTTTGCTGTAAAAACTATAGGACAACGCACAGGGTGTTTCAAATGACTAGAATTAAATTTTTTTTAGTATACATTTAAGCTAGAGCTATTACCTCTTAGACTGAGTTATGCAGACTCTGATAAATTAATGACATTAAGGTCATTATAAAAGGGATATATAGAGCTTAGGTAGTTAGGACATACAAAATGGAATCTAGATTCATCATTTCAGTTGAGGAGAAATCGTCCTTTTCTTAAAATGATTAAATACGAATATATTTTGCATAAAAAACCGATTGCTTTTTTTTCTAGAATTCGAAAAAATTGACAAAATTAAGTAAACATGGGCAAGTAGGCATGAGGAAGATTTCCTTATTCCCTTCCAGTTCTTGCCGTGCGACGTATGTTGTTATAGGGCAGACTCACTCCAGGTGCAGTCTCTCCAAAGAGCTAATGCACCGTTATTGTGGCTGTAAGTCCATATAGACTTTTCCTGTACCTATTTAAAAAGTATGTAGTTCTTTCCCTTATCACAAGGGGTTTCGTTATCTTACAGCGGGAATGGTAATAACTCAAAGTCGAATTAGTTAAGAGAAGATCTCGCCTTAGTCAACTCAACAGCGAAAAATAACCTACGAGCGGTAAGCTGGGGCGTATATAAATATTATATCTAAATAAATTCGATAGACTTTCTCTATATTTTAGCTAACCCGTCTTCATTTCTTAGAGTTTTATCAACTCTTTTTGTACTCTGACTGAAAGTGCATATTAATCCATCAAAACTTACATGCAAACTCCTTAATGGGTGGCAAGAGCTCCTCGGGCACGAGTGGATCGTCTTTAGCATTAATGAAAATCATTGGTTTTTCAATATTATTTAAAAAGTGCAATGATGAACTCCACTTGTACAGCTCCTGTGTGGTGGAGAAATTGTGCACACGACGTGTATATGCTTCATCTAATTCGGGCAGTGTAGCGGCAGCGATTATTTCGCGTTCATTTAAATTGTGACGTTGTTTCACCTCATCCGAAAGTAAAACATGACGATGCTTGAGTATAATGCTCTTGACATTCTCTGTCATCACATACAAATAGAAACGACGGAAATTTTGCCAATTCAAAAGCCATTTTGTGCCTCTGCAAAAGAAAAATGTTGCATTCATTTTTATACAATTTAAAATTTCTGCAATAGGCATACAACCGGCCAAATTGCCGTTACAGCTACCATATGCTATCTCAACTTACTCCTCTGCATTGTAACCCTGGCAAATTGATATGCCACCAAGTATTGTGTGTGGTTTCGATTTTGCTGATTCTCCCATATATTTCGTTACAAGATTGCCACCCAAACTGAATCCAACAGCTACTATGCGACTATTTGGATATTTCTTATGTAAATTGTCAATCATATCGGAAAAGTCGTCAGTGTGGCCTGAAAGAAGATATGGTTAGTAAATGCTTGCAAGCGAAATATATATATATGTTTATAACGTCTAACTTGGAAAAGTTCTTAGCATAAACCAAAATAAAATCAAATAAAGAAAATAAGAAATAATAAAATTAAATCTAATAAAAAATAATATAAAATTAAATAAATAAAATTGAATTTAAAAAAATTAAAAAAGAAGAAATATAAATTCCAATAAAATAAAATTAATAAAAAGAATCAAAATAAATAATTAAATAAAAGAAATAAAATAATATAAACTAAATTGAAATAAAATTAAATAAATTCTAAAATAATAAATTAAAAGAGCAAATAAAAAACAAATTTAAATAAAATCAAATGAAATAATATAATATATATATTTTAATGAAATAAAAAATGAAATCACTCATAAAAAAATAATATAAAAGAAAAAAAGGAAATTTAAATCAAATAAAATTAAGTAGGGAAAAAAAAATAACATAAAATAAATTGAAATAAAATTAAATGCGATAAAATTAAAAAAACTAAATATATTTTAATTAAATGAAAAATAATATAAGCCAAATAAAAGAAAAGAAAAAATTCTAAGAAGAAATAAATTTAAAATAATCAAAAAATAAATGTAAAAAAAACAATGAAATGAATTAAAAAAAAAAACAATTAAATGAAATAGTTTAAAATAAATTAAAATAAAATCAATTTAAAATCAAATGAAGTTTAATGAATAAAAAAAGAAATAAAATGAGGAATAATATATATTTCAGTGAAATTAAAATTATATAAATTAAATTAAAAAAGCAAAATGAAATGAAATAAAAATAAAATAAAATATAAATTAAAATAACAATAAAATAAAAATAATTTAAAATAAAATAAACAGAAATATTGTATATAAACAAACAAATCAAACAAAAGGAATTAAATTCATATAAAATAAAATTAAATAAATAAGTTTTAGTTTAATAAAATATCAAATAAATTTAAAGTAAATAAAATAGAATAAATCCTAACATAATAAATTAAAATAAATGTAAGTAAAACCAAAAGAAATAAAATAAATAAACAAATAAAGGAAATGGAAAAAATGGAATAAAAATGAAATAAAATATAAATTAAAATAACAATAAAATAAAATAACATAAAAAACCAAATAATAAGAAATTAAACTTAAATAAAATAAATTAAAATAAAAATAAATAGAAATATATAATAATATTTAAGAAATTTATAATTATAATTAATAATTAATAAAGTAGTATAAAATAAAATTAAATAAACAAGATTTAGTCAAATAAGAAATCAAATAAATTTCTATTAAATAAAATTGAATAATGTTAATATTCAAATAACGGAAATAAAATAAAGTAAAATTAATAAAATTGAAATATAATTAAATATATTAAACGAAAATCAAACAAAATAATAATCTCGTATTTAAACAAATTTCTCGTCAATTTTTTCTTTTCGTTTTCGCACGACTCACCATAGCTGAAGATACGCGTTGACGTCACTTGTACACTATTTAGTGCACCGATGTGATTGAGTACCGCACAACGGTAACCATGCACTTGTGAATAATGTACAAATGTGCGTATATAAACGCTCTCCGAGGTATTACCGATACCGGGGCATATTGCAATAGTGACATCATCTGTAATTCACACAAAAATTGTTTTTTTAATATATATATTTTTTTTAAATTATTAAAATTACTTTACCTTCAGCTTCATTGATCGGTTGGTAGAGATCATAAGTGAGTGTAGAGCCATCTTGCAGCAATAGATATACACGTTCGCCCAATGGCCAAGGACATTTCACACGACCTACTATACTATGCAGCACCGTTTGTACGTGACCACTAAATCCCCATAGGCGCGTGGGAACATAACTGTAGGAAAGTGGTAGAAAAAATAAAAATATTTGTATAAAGAGACAGGTGTTTGAAAGTTTAAAACAATTATTGTATATACATACATATGTTGTTTTTGTAAGGAATAAACTTTAGTATAATTAAAGATAAGCGAAGGATAGCGACAAATGACAAGCGTGGGATTGAAATTTTCATTACCAGCCAGTGTATTTAATATTTAATTATCGGTTATTATAATTTTTAATATTCAAACTATGTATGTACATATTTCCCTTGAACGTTTACACTGTGGAGAGTTTTTAAATGTTTTCAAACATTTACATATTTTCAACTTTTCTAACCTAAAAACGTTGTGATCGACTACACTAGGAAGACCTCATACCTTCCATCACTCATTATTATGAAACAAAATAATAACTATATATATGAGGAAGCGTTTTTATGTTCACGTAATCGGATGTGAAAAGTGGAAAATGGAAAAAACGAATATCGTGTCGTTATAAAGTTCCTTACAGAGCAAGGAAAATCAGTTGAGATCATAGCCAATGAGATATGATTGGTGTACGAAAACTCTTGTCCAGGCAAGCCACGATGCATAAGTGTCACAGTTTGCTTAAACGAGGAAGACAATCCGAGGCCGACCAGAAGCATAGGGTTGGCTGACAACTCACAGTTACAACCGCAGTATCCGATACAACTATTTTTAAAATCCTGCACGACTACCTTTTCATCACTAAGGTCTGCGGAAGACACTTCCCCCGCAAAAACAACAGCCACAAGAGCCGCGGTGCATTGGCTGCTCTTCATAACGTGGGCTTCGATTGATTACATAATCTTATTCACTTTGAAGATGTAACTTTTTGGCGATTGACAAGTAAAAACTACGAAAAATCATCTTGACTGAAAAGGCCCGTTTCCAACTTGAGCTCAACGAAAAATCTAAGATTTATGGTTGAAAAATTCCTCTCCATCCTCAAGGTGTAACTGTTTGGTACGGTTTATGTTCAGGCGATAACATTGAACCTTATTTTCCAAAAATGAGTGGATTGCACTATCGAGAGGTGATTAAGATTTTTTTATGGCTGGAATCGGATGGTAATGATCTAGAGAACCTTTACTTTTTATAAGACGGCGCTACGTGCCACACAAGCAACCAAACCAATGATTTTTTTAAGTTTCTTTGAATATCAAAATAAAATCTCATCTCTTATTGGAAAACCCTCTATCTTCCTAAAACCTCTTATATCAAAGATAAGTCGTATGGATCGCGTTTAACATAAACCGGTTGAGAGTCTATAATGAAATAAATTGTATGTATATAACTGGCATGGTAATGTAAAGAGGTGTAAGATTGGATTCGGGTGGTGGAGGCTATACTCAATTCCTACACGTGCGACCTCGTCGCACACACTAAAACCGCGCGAGATACAGTAACCAACAAGTGTGGAGCCTCGGGTATAAAATAGAGGCAACTTTGGAGGAGCCAATCCAATAGGGCTCACTACGCTTTTTTGTAGTGTCTTTTTGCCAGGAGTGCAGCTACGAGTAGGCGTTGGTTTTGAAGCAAGCAGCTCGCTATGTACATAAATGTTACCACAATCGAAACCTCCTACCATAGATAGGTTTTTAAGCTGGGCTTGAAACCCGCCACGTAAAAGTAAGTTCCCATAAACAGCTTAGCGATGTCGATGCATGAGAAACGCCATTTTTTATGAAGACTACTTGCTGCAAACGTGGTCCTACCTACCTAGCTCGTTGATATTCTCGTCTAAATTAAAGCTTTCAGCACCACTGCTAGGAAGTGCAATGAACGGGAGAAGGTAGGTACTTGTGAAATCTCCTGATGGTCGCTGTGGAAGCGCAAATTTTGTGACGGTTTTGTGGTAGGAGAGAAACTCCAACGCGTAACGGTGCCTACGTCAATGAAGAAGAGACAGAGAGCTTTGGAAGAAAAATTTTACTTCTTGGCGAACTGGTTTCACTCCCTCGCGCGATAATATGTGAATTTACTAACAAACACAACGAAAACTCGTTTTGTCTTGCGTTCGCTTTATTCTTTTTTACCTTCTACAAACTCGAATGTATTAAATTCACTAGAAGGAAACTTGAAACTCGACAGCAAGGACGTTCTCACATACGAACAAGTTTTATGGATTATGTAATTCGAACGCGATTTGTGTGCATATGTACACTTCTATATATGTATATACATACAAACATGCACATATTCTTTAGTACATTATTTAAGGTTCAAGTTCAAGGCCACAGAGCAACATTGTGTGCGTTTATTTTGCACTTTTAAGATAATGCTCGTAATAAAAGAGGAAGGAAAATTCATTCAAGCGAAGATGAAAAAATAAATGCGTGAAGTTTTAATGACATAATTTCGAAAGCAATAAAATACATTAAATGATGAGGTCGCATGAGAATGCGAATGCATTGGATGCGAGTAAGAAATAAATGACAATAATTTTATAATAACACAAAATTGTTTATATTATTGCAAGCATTAAAGGGATTTAAAAAGCTACACTTAATGGCATATTTCAGTTAAACTTATTTCCCAGAATTTTCGAAACTTTAATCTACGCTCAGACGACGAGGAATATTGCATGCTTGATTATTGCAACTGAAACTGAGAATGTTCTGGGAAAAATTTGTAGAATTGGAGAAAATTTGCGCTTTTCTCGGACTTTGCATTTTACAATTTAAATTAAACCGCGGAAAATTGCCTTAAATTTTATAAGAGAAAAATAAAAAAAAAATTGTCCACCACGTGTTGATCCCATGTGCTGGAGATTATATTTTCATTTCTTGTTCCTCCGACGCCGAAAAACAATGCTGCACTGAGTGTAGTCTAAATAAATTGCATGCCAACATCTATGCAAATAGGGTTATCCATTTCGTGGGTTCAAAAGTAGAGTATTTTGGCATTTGTGTTGTTGTAAGGGGCAAAAAGTACTTTTGGGGAAAGTGGGGGGAGTGCCAGTCCTTGGCCGTATAAAAATCCAGATCGTTCCGGTATAAAGACCCGACTGTTGCGCGAACTATTGGATTTTAGTCGCCTCTTACGACAGGCATGCCTTACCGCGGGTAAATTCTTGAGCCCCTAACCCACACATAACGGTCCAACCTCAAATATCGCTATTGTAAGTAAAAGTATAGCCGAAGACTCAAAGATGTCTCTTTCTCCTAGTTCTCTAAAGCTGGGTCTTTCTTACGCTGCAATAGGGCGTACTTGGACTTACAACTACGTCCATATAAAGTCCAGCTCATACAAGCGGTGGACGGCGATTTATCGAAAAATAATTTTTTCAGCGACGAGGCACATTTCTAAAAAAAAAACTTACCATCTGCTGTGATTGGACCTTCTTTGAAAACGACAAAATCGGGACTATCACTGTCAATTCAGAGCGTTTTGGTCGCATGTGAACCGACTTTTCTTGGATTGTAATTGAAGAATACAACTTGGACAATATGTGGTTTTAACAAGATGGTGCAACATGCCACCCAACCTGAGCGCATATGGCTTTATCACGTGAGAAAATTTCTACCAAGGCCATGCTATCTGAGACCGTTGGACTTTTTTTGTGGAACCACGCGAAAAACCATATTAATGCGGATAAACCTTTGACTATTGAGCAATTGAAAACCAATATTCATCAAATTATTACTGAGATACCGTCCAATATATGGCTAAAAATTACCGAAAATTATCTCAAACGGATCGAAGTTTGCCATAGACCGTCATCCGAATGATGTACTGTTTCACAGGGTCCAACTTTATAATAAAAAAGGAATTTAAAAAAAAAAATATATATATATATATAATTTCGAAACCGCAAAGTAGATAGCCCTGTATATTTGGCTGAGTGTATATTCGCTAATATACAATGAAAATGACTGTAAATTGAACCAATTTATGGAGGTCATGCATTTTTAGTCATCAAATCATCAAATCCAACGTGATCCGGCCGGCAAATAAGTGTGACAAAGAAATTTAAATAAAACGTGCGGTTCGCCGATAGTAAAAGCTTCGAATGGGCTATTCCTGTTTTGTGGATGCTATTTATAAATTTAATAAAATATATAATAATAATATGATAATAAATAAAGGCACTGCTCAGCAGTTTTTACGAGATCCGTAAATAAAATAATTTGTAATGCAATTTTATTAGATTAACGAGTTAAGTTAATACAGTCATAATTGATCGTTTGTCATCCATTCGTAAAATGTTTGCTTAATCGAAAATGTTCTCTTGCAATTGATTTTGTAGACGAAAGGAAAATTGGCAACGTTGGTAGTTGGAATTATCTGAAATTCATTATTCAATATAAAAACGTGTATTGTAGCCAAAGTAAAGTAGATAATTGTTGAAAAATAATAATTTTTGAATCTGAAAATTGTTACAACTCGAAAAAATGCTCAACTGGGCAAAAAAAAATAATAATTATTAAGGGGCATGCCTAGTATGAAATTTCAAAAAAATCGAACTTTTTTCATATTTCGGTAGATTACACCTTCAAAAATAACATATTAAAATTTCAAATCGATATCTCAAATAGTTTTTGAGTTATAGCAATTTAATGAGCAGCCGCTCGGCAGCTAGAGAGTCTCATTAGCTACAAGTGAAAACGATCATTTTATCTTTAAACGCGTTTTTCTAGAAACAGCATTTTCCGAATTTGCTGCAGTGATTACTCAAAAACAAATGATCCGATCAGTATCGAATTTTTTTACATGTTCTATATATAGTTCTCCGTACAATAATTTATCGATTTTTGATCTGATCAAATAATCGAGTTTCGACAGGCCAAAATTTTGGGTAAAATTCGACTACTTTTTTTAAAACGCCGACATATTGTCAATTTTTAATTTTTTTCTTCATAGGCCATTGTTCAGACAATATTATCTTATCGAGATTTTTTTTTTTTTTGATTTCATTCACGGAGAAGGCCGGAATCACTGCAGCAATGAAAGACCTTTTTTTCGCGCCGTTGGAGGTCGACTATAACTT